ATAGCATGGACTCAAACTACATCACAAATGGATTGCACCGAGGATGAGCTTCACTTAACGCAAGATCATGGATTGTAAAGATAGATACAATTGTTTTAGCAAGGCTAGTGTCCATGTCTTATTTATAAGATGCATTAGGGATAGGCTTCATAGGTTCGGAGTAGGATTCACTAAAGGAAGGTCCAATTGTCACTTTCTTTAACCTTTGCTAGCAAGTTAAAGTAATGTAGTCCAAAAAACTTAAATCCTTAAAAGCCAAATATAACCATCTAAACTTGGATAACGTGACATGATTCTAGAGGTCATAAGCCAACTTTTTTCACTATAAATACCAATTTCACGTCATTGTGAGAGATCAAAATTTTTATATTAGAGAATTTTTTACTTCATAACTTTTAGATCTCTAGTGAAAGAAACTCCTAAAACTCTTTATTATTATTATTATTTTTTTTTACCAAACTCTCCTCGCTCACGGACCGAGACAACACTTAAAAGCTTTGTCTATAAGAAATTTGACTACTCACCTATTAGCCACATAACTTGCGTCTTGCTAGCACTATTTGTTTCTCCTCTCATTCTTTTTGCTATTTGTATCCTTTCGCATAGTTGATTAATCGTTACTTCTATAAATCACAATACTAGCTCTTTGTATCTTGACTAACTTTTTGACCAATTTCGATAAGTTCTCAAGAACCCTTTACTCACTATAAATTTTGGTATAATTAATTTGGTAAAAATATGAAGAAACTATTTTGGTATTAAAGATTGATATTATGATATTTTTTGCCCCTCAAAGTATTGCATTTTGATAATTTCGAACCTAATGTATAAAATTACATAATTTAAATCCTAAAATATAAGAGATTGGGCAAATTTGATCCAAATTGCCCAATTACCATTATTACTAACGATCAATTGCTAGTTGACCGTTACTTAAAATTTTTTAAGCTCTATTTCTTTTTAACTTATCTCAATTATGTCCCGATTCCTTCTTTCTTCATTTGCTTTTTTCCCCCTTTTCGGTCTTCTTTTCTATCTTTTTGCTTTGTTTTGATTTTTTTTTCTATTGTTTCGTTTTTCTATTTTTTTTTCAATTTTTTCATGATTTTTTGTAGTTGTTTTTCTTTTCCTAACATTCTTTTTTTTTCCCCCTTTCGATTACTTTCCCAAAGATTAAGAAAAAAATACCAACATGTTTTAAAATCATGAAATTTTTTAAATAAATTAGAATTGCATATATATATATATATATATATATATATATATATATATATATATATCTTTTATTTTTTTGGTTTTTGGAATTTTTTAATAAATATTTTTTTTATAAAATTTTGAAAAAAATATATATTTTTTGAATTTTTGAATAAATATTTTTAAAAATTTTTATAAAAAATTATTTATTCCAAAATTCCAAAAATACAAAAAATATAATATTTTTTTCAAAATTTTATAAAAAAATTATTTAATCAAAAATTGCAAAAATATTTTATTTTTTGGATTTTTGGAATTTTTAATAAATAATTTTTTTATAGAATTTTGGAAAAAAAAACTTTTTATTCTAAAATTCCAAAAATCCAAAAAATAAAAAAATCAAAATTTTAGAAAAAATTATTTATTCAAAAATCCAAAAAATAAACGATTTTTTTTTCATTCTAAGTTATTTTAAAAATTTACATGATTTTAAAAATTTTGGCATTTTTTCTTAACATTTGGGAAAGCAATAACTCCTACCCTAAAAATAAATAAATAAACCTAGGAAGAAAAACGTGTGAGAAGCACCAAAAACTCCATAGTAGCCATCATCTCCCTGAAAATAATAATTAAAAAAAAAAAAAAAAAAAAAAAGAACCCAGTTACACCTAAATTTTCCCTCCTCCTATCATCTTCATTTGGCCGAACCTAAAATCCAGGATCATCGTCAACCTCTAGCTGCTTCCACCTCCACAATCACCACCAAAGCCTGTCGTTCCTCCCTTCAAGTCCGAAAAGTTATCCCGCGACAACTCATAACCCATAACTCTTCCACACCAGACAATCCTCTCCTGAAAGAAAACCAAAAATTCAAAAGAAAACTGGATCTTGAATCCATTTACCTGTGACCACCCAATTATTCATTACTACCGGTGGTCACCCTTCAAACGCCCCATGGTCCTCCTTTCGCCACTGCCAGGCACCGTCACTGTCATCCCCAACTGCTGCGAAAGCTTGTGTGACCAGGAGATATCGAAGCCCAATCAAGGTACCCGACCCGTTTCCCCCTCTCCTTCACCCGAACACCACACTAGCCTCCTTCATAACTCTGCCCCAAAATACATGCCAAAATCCTTATAGACAAAAAAAAAAAAAATCATCAGTAGCCTCAACCACACAGCCAAGCCGCAAGATCTCCACAGCCATCTCCCATAGACAAATACACAAACAACTAGTGTGCATTCTGCCTAAGACCTCAACCACAATCTACTTCTTCTTTACCTTCTCCACATTTAATAAACCCTCTGTCAGCCACCTTCAGACTCACCATAAATCCACCACTGTCTCCTTCTTCAGCCTCTAGCATTTATAATCTCCTTCAACCCAAACCCACAAAACACCGACCACAATAATCAACACCAGTAGCCCCGTCTCACGGTCATAAACCCATTATCTTTAAACCAACTATCACCACTGTCGCAACCCACAACCCCCATCTCTACATCAAAACCTACTATCCACACTCTCCCCACTCTCTCTATATTTTCTTTTCTCAATGGCCGTTTCAGTATTCAAAATGTTAGGTCTCTTTGTTGGTTTCTCTTTAATGGTGGGGTTGGTTAGTTCAGCTAAGTTTGACGAACTCTTTCAACCAAGTTGGGCTCAAGATCACTTTGCTCTTAAGGAGATTTCTTAGGATGAAGCTTAACAGTTATTCTGGTGCTGGATTTCAAATAAAAAAGCAAGCATATGTTTGGGAAGGTAACTGTGCAAATTAAGCTTGTAGAGGGTGACTCTTGCCGGACCTGTTACTGCTTTCTATAGTAGCGATAATAAACAAAAAATGGCTTCGGAAAAAAAATGCCGGGAAAAGAAAAACAACTACAAAAAATAAAAGAGAGGACTGAAAAGGCCCAAAAAAAAAAAAAAAAAAAAAAAAGAAGCAAATGAAGAAAGAAGGAATCAGCACATAATTAAAAAAGAAAAAGAAAATGAAAAAGCACCTAAAAAAATTTAAATAACAATTGATAGTTAAAAATAACAACGTATATTTTGAGGTTTAAATTACATAATTTTATATATTAGATCCGAAATTATCAAAATATAATACTTTAAGAGCAAAATACCGTAGTATCAATAAAGATTATTGTGAAAAACACAACAACAGTATAAGTATCATTAGTCTTTAAACTATTATTTAAAGAAAATAATTCGGCGAATATGAAGAAGAAAATCAACTTACTATAATTGATTATATATATATATTTAATCAATTAATATTATAATTAAAGTATGAGTAATATAAAATTTAACGTTAAATTTAATTTTTTTATAGTTATCAAGATTGTGTGATAGAGCCTATATGCTAATGGCAAGAACAATAAAACTAATTTTTGTATAATTTGATATTATTTATTATTTCTACAATATTGATATTATTACTAATAAAACTATATAACTAATATATCATGATTTTTTATAAAAATATTCTCGAATATCATAGACTTTAAAAATATTTCTAAAAGATATTATTAGTAACTAAATATTAAACTTATGATACAGTAAAAAGTTAGGTATATTTTCTTTTCACTTTTAAGATAATAAATATATTCTAAAGATTATATAAGAAAAATAAATGATATAGAAATCATTAATTATATTTTAAAAAGTAGATAAATAAATCTAAGTTATTTCTAGATAATCACTTCTATATAATACTTCACTCATTTTATTTGGGCAAAAAATAATAATAATAATAATAATAATAATAAAATAAAACAACAACAACAACGTTAATCATGTACAAAGGTTACCACATAAAAGCTAGTAAATAAATAATTCATACGGTCATGCAAGGGAAACTAATTGAATCGTATCATAAATAGATGTTTTCTTTTTTTATTTCCTCTTTTGTTTAGGTACAGAATCCACAAACTAGTCCAAAATGCAGGTTAAAGTCAATATATAGCATCAATAACCAATTCTCTAAATTGCAACTCTCATCAGAAAAGAGGTTTTCTTTCTTTTTATTTTTATTTTTTTAAAAAATACAATAAGATTATTATTGATGCATTCAATGTCTGCTTGATGTATTAAGAAGAATTTAAAAAATTGTTTTGATTACTAACCCCAAAGTTTGAACCACATATATATATATATATATATACCAGGGTAGCTAACCCTGGGGTTTGAGAAGAGAGGTTGAGAGCCATGTTATGTATAAATCAGAGTTTGAAAATCCAAGGGAACATTCATTTCAGTTTCAGCTAAAGAAAGCATGCCTAACCGCTATCCTTTTTAGTTTTTATAATTACCCTTCGTCTTATAGTTAATACGTTCTTAACACATTTAATAAAGCAAAATCTATTTCTCTGGATTTAGCAAAACTTTCATGACTGACCTTTCTGTCTTCCACACTCTATATACATATATATAATCTCTGTTCAATCTTTGCGTTTGTTCTTGTACAATATATATATATGAGATTTTTTTTTTTAAAGTACCAACAGTCTTTTTCTGCTAATAATTTTCTACTTGATTTTGAGTTCCTTAGTAGTCCAAGTGACAGTACTGCAACGCTCTTTATTTGCTGTTAATATTCTAGATTCTGAGTTCGTCAAGACTCCAAGTGATAGAACTGCACCAAGACACTCCGCTCCCTTATTTATTACGCTCACCTGTTCTTCACAAGATTTAGTCTTTAACAACCAACTTCAGCTTGTGTTTTTGGTCTTTCAAAAACAGCGGTGTCAGCTGCACATTAATTGTCATAAACCTACGTATGTGGAGTCTGATCTGGAAAAATAATGCAGAAGTCTGTTAACGTTGGTGGAGGTTTTCTTGTGGTTTTCTTGTGTTTTATAGATTGTTTTCAGGTTGGCTTTGCACAACCTGATGCAAATGCGAAAGGTACAATTAGAATTAGTTGGGATGATATGAAGATGGATGAGCGTGGTGCAAGATTGATCAGTTATAAAGATGATTACAATGGAAGCCGAGTAATTGTAGTTGACAAGAATGGTGGAGGAGATTCATTAACAGTTCAAGGTGCAATAGATATGGTGCCTCAGTATAACACTCAAAGGATTAAAATTTACATTCTTCCAGGGATTTACAGGTTTGTAAATTTGTTCTTTCATTTTTTCAGTGTGTCTCGTCTCTGATCGTGGGGAAAATTAAGTGGAGCCGGAAATATAGAAATTTTGAAAAACGCACTCTCTTTTTGCAGTTAGTGCTATTTTTGTGGGGTGTAAGTAAGTGGGACAGGACAGTAGACAATTGTGGGAAAGCAACGTGGGTTATTAATTAATTAAGGGGGTAGTTAGTACTTAGCAGTTACAATTACATGCACACGTTTGTATATGCTGACCTGATCGATTTGGTTTTAACTCTCCACCCGTTGATTGATGATCAGATTTTTTGATTCACTTGTTAAAATATGCAGGGAGAAGGTACTGGTGCCCAGAACCAAGCCGTATATCTCATTGATTGGAGACCAAAATCATGTTTGTGACACCATAATTTCTTGGAACAACAAGGCTTCAGATGCAGATAGCGATGGCACTGCTCTTGGAACCTATAGATCAGCATCGGTCACCATAGAATCTGATTATTTCTGCGCATCCGGTGTCACCTTTGAGGTAATTAATTAACATACGTCCATCCTGCACCATCGGCATTCGATTTTGCCGCATTTTTGTGCACTTTTATTATACAATTGGTAATTAAGTCGATGGGGGTGATGACAGAATACAGTAGTAGCAGAGCCTGGAGGACAGGGAATGCAAGCAGTAGCATTGAGAGTTTCTAGTGATAAAGCATTTTTCTATAAAGTTAGGGTCTTGGGTGCTCAAGACACTCTCTTGGATGAGACTGGAACCCATTACTTCTACAAGTGCCACATCCAAGGAAGTATTGACTTCATATTCGGGAGAGCAAAATCACTCTTTCAGGTTGTGTGACCTAGAGAACCATTTATACAAGTTTCCTGTTCTTGAATATTGTGGTAAATGATATTTAGGGTTTTGAAACAGGATTGTGTCCTTCAATCAACTGCTAAAAAATCTGGAGCAATTGCAGCTCACCACAGGGATTCACCTGAGGAGGACACGGGTTTCTCTTTCGTAGGCTGCATGATCAATGGAACTGGCAAAATTTTGTTAGGAAGAGCTTGGGGAAACTATTCAAGGACGATTTATTCATACTGTTATCTTGACGATATTATAAATCCTTCTGGATGGAGTGACTGGAACTACCCATACAGGCAAAAGTAAACAAACTCTTCTTATGTTAACTTTTGGCAATCAATCTGTTTTAAATTTCCTGGGATTTAACACAGCTTGAACGAATTTCACAAACATGCAGGACTGTGGTTTTCGGAGAATACGAGTGCAGTGGAAGAGGAGCAACTGCAGGAGGCCGGGTACCATGGTTAAGGCCTCTCAAGTACAAGGATGCAAGACCGTACTTGGACATAGGATTCATTGGTGGAGAACAATGGCTTAAACTATAGTTGTTTTTTTTTTAAAAAAAATAATCTATTCATTATTCTTTACCAATTTTCTTCCATAAACATCTATGCAAATGGCTATAAGCAAGCAGAACCGTCAAGTTATAGAAAGTGCGAGTGTTTCTCTCTTCTTTTATAAACCCACCATTTTCCAACTGCAAAATCAAGCGAAATGCTAAAATTAAAGTTGCTCAATTCTTCAAAGGGAAACAGCACATGGAAACAACTAATTATTTTGATATTATAAGAGCACAGGGCTTGGTAGATGATACAACCTACAAGCAAGAATCACAATAGCAATGACCCGCCAACGGAGTTCCAACTCAATTACAAGGCTCCTAACCGTAGTAATTTTAACACCAATCCCGCTTATACAAACAGTTAACAAAAGAAACCTTACAAATCTAAGATAATTCCTGTACATCAATGGACGTGGAGGTGAGAAGGGTTGAGAAGCAACGATTCTCCTGTTACTATTTACAAGCTTCCTGACCACCGAATAAGAAATATCCACAATTCCACGCTAACTATAACCAGCAGCATTATCACAATTAAGAAATGATGCAGTAAAAGCAAACTTCTTATGCTGCTACTTCCATGAGTTCTATAGCTTTACAATTCTTCTCAGAGGTCTCAAAGACTTCCACATCCAACTTGCCAGCACCATCATTAACATCAACTACTTCACCCTGTTCGATACCTTGAACTTCATCATTATCAGCAACTTCACCTTTACCATGACTGATATTAATGTCTTCAACACCATCCTCATTGCCTACGCAATCTAGTTTTGGAGGCTTCACACAGTCAACACATTTCATGGCTTCAAGATGACTATCAGAACCATTTGAGGGAGCAAACTCAGGTTCTCTCTCTTCAATAGTATTAGGTTTAGCACTGGTAGGAACTTCAATACAAGACATAGCTCCAAGATCAGATACCAGGTCCTTGTTAATAATAGAGGAGATGGATGCTTTTGTTTCAGGGCTACTTGTAGCAGATACGGCTGATAGTATGTCAGGCTTTGCCTGAATATCAATCCAACGATTGCCCACCCAATCTCTGGAAATTCGTAGATCCTTTTTGTGTACATCCAAAAAGAAGTTTTCACCTGATACCACAGCTGTTTGTCATAACAAGAAGAAAAGTACAGAAATGATAAAAAAGGGAAGAGAACAAATATTAAGTGCTTCACAGTTTCTTTCAAAAGCATACCTGGGAAGTAAACTTGCAGAACATCACTGCAATTGTGATCAATTTTACTTACCACCCCTTCCCACCAGCCATCACTCCACCATGCATCCACTGCATACCCAACTTCAAGAGCAGGATCTGTTTGTTCATTCAGAAGAGGGGCTGGTCGAATTGTTGGACGGCCTAAGAGCCTCATGCCAAGTTTATCAGCCACAGCCAATCTAAAAGGTGGGACCCATTCCTACAATTCAGAGGGTAGTTCAACCTCCTTCTCACAAAAAAGAGAGAGAGAGAGAGAGAGAGAGAGAGAGAGAGAGAGAGAGATGTGCATGGTTCATGTTGCAGGGACATATCCATTCTCAGGCCTAGTCTGTTGGACGGCACCTCTGATTTATGAATCACGAAAGGAACTTTTTACAACAAAGCATGAATTCATCCAAAACTACCACTCTTTAATGATTAAAAAATTGCATCAAAGCTTAAAAACCAGGCATGCCCAAACAATTTTTCTAACAATCTGAATTGACCTGGATGTTAACTTCATTGAGAATTTCCTGACAATGTCAATCTGACCAGGAACAGAAATGGTTCATTTTTAATTACAATAAATTTCAATGCTACTATGTCATTATCTAATTTTCTATATAGAGTTCAAGCCAGGAAGGGTAAACCTAAAGAGAGTGCTTTGTAATGCCTGAGCATACCTCAAGATTGCCATACTCATCTTCATCCTGCACATCATCATATTGGATTTTTATCTGTTTCCGAGATACCTGCAAGACTGTACACCTGAACCAGCAACCTCGTATACCACTATCTTGGCACAACAGCTCAATCTTTTCATCAACCTTAAATAGCAGGCTATACCATTGGTGGGAGTCTGCGTGCTTGAGGGGAAGCAATGTCTTGCCTGACGAACCATACTTTAAGTTCAGGTATGAAGAGTCAAAAGCCATAATCTGACTTCCAGAAACTCCGACTCCTAAATGATCTATCGCAAATGCTTCAGACTCACTGCTGCTTCTGGTCCTCTTGCCTCCCAGCTTTATGTTCTCACTTGGACTCAATTCCTCATCTTCTTCAGTTAGTCCACAGGCTATGTTGTCAGCCCCTGGAAAGGCTTTGGAATTCAAACAAGAGAGAATTGGTTGATTAAAATAGCCACGCAATTTACTCAAATCAAAGGGCTTTACTTTATTGCTTCTGAACTGCCGAAAGCACAAATGTATTCTCATTGACAAAGTATCAGGAAAAGCAGCAAAGCATTCCTCATAATGTTCACGAGTTAAAACAATGGCAGGACCATCAACACACTCTGCACTGATGACTTGTGAATAAGGTGTGATAAAAACTTCTTTTGGGTGAGCATTTCTTAGAGGAACTAAACCCTTAACTTCCTCATTATGGTGAAACCACCTCACTTTGACTTTTTTCTGTCCCCTCTTGTCTTCATACATATCTTCCAAGTAAGCAAGGTAATGATTCTGTCCTTTAGCCATGACAAAGACAAAGGATTGGATCTGCAAATGGAAAATAACATAAACTCATGATTTAACAGCCAGTGAAGTTGAAATAGTGACTGGGAAACATTTGCATGCCTTCTAAGAATAGATAGCATGCAAGACAAACAACTCAACCAGTGAAGTTGAAATAGCAATCATATTTATAACATATCTCACATCCAAATCAATAAAATGTTACCAAAACACTTCTGCAAGTGAATCATACCCATTTTAGAATCATGTCTCATAATTGCAATCTAAACAGTGTCTTCTCTTCCTACTTTTCAAGTATTTTCTGAGGGAAAAACAAAAAAAAAAAAGACTTGAGACTTAATTATTTTTCTATAGTCATCTGATTCAGATTCTCCTCCAGAGGCCTTTCTCTTGACCAGCTAGTAAGGTCACATTCCAAAGTGGTTCCAGTGTCAGACAATATTCGATCAACAGTTTCAATCAATTGATCATTTAAACTTGTAACTACGCCTCTACATTGAACTAGTGAAATTGAAAAGTCGAATTTCTAGTTGCAATTAAGGAAGTTCCATCAAGGAGACAAATGAGCCTAACCCATGCATGTAAAGCAATGCCTCAACTCCTCTTTTCCCTTTTTAATTGGCAATGAATTCTTACCATTATTGTAGTTGCATTCCTGCAGAAGGCAGGATAATGCTTCAGTTGTTTCCCGCATGTCCATGCAATGCCTGACCATTCAATGTCTGAATCGTGTCCACCAGAATTTTTTGAAAGATGGCCCTGCAATGCACATATAGTGATACGTCAAAGCATTAACATTAGAATGATACAGATAAGTTCCAAGAAAAAGTATATTCTGCATCTTATACCTGCATCTGTTGACCACCAAGCCCATTTACTGATTCTAAACCTTGTGGTGTTTCTGTAATCAAAAGTACAAAAATTAAATCTTGCTGAGAAAGTGTAATGTAATTCTACCAGCTAACATGAAGAACTCACTTCCATAATGCTCTGCATAATTGTTCTAGAAATTACTGCCAGAATGTTGCAATAAATCAAATCCACATGATGCATGCTTGTTCCAAATGTAACCTGAAGACACTGGTGCTTTGGGTTCAGCAGCTTTCATGCCTCCAGGTTGCATTTGATACGTATTACCATGCATTCCAGTTAATTATTACATCAACAAATTGGACAATCTGAAGATTGTAAAAGATGACATGCAGTCCAACCTTCCGTAGGAGACAAATTAACTGTTTAACTTAAGGCTAGTCCAGAAAGATTTCAATCGCAAATTTTCAGGAAAGATGTTCCAATTGATAAATATTAAAGCAGAAGAAAGTTAATAACCTTATACATGGACAGTAAGGAAGATAATTTTGAAAAGAAGGACGAAATAGGATATAAAATAACAAACAAAGCATAACACATAAAGCATTGCGTGGACATGATACCTTGAACAATGATAATGGATTAGATGCATAATTTTCATACATGGTATCACATTCATAATAAATCAATGACAGGATACAGAAAACACAAAACACATGGAGAAAACCCCAAAAAATCCAGAGGAATAAATACATACTAGACCGATCACCCTGTACATGCTGCTTCGATAGCATAGAAGTAAGCCAATCCACAACCTCCCTTCTTGACCTCCATTTGAAACCAGCATGAATGGAATTTTCAGCACCATGAACCTGCACAAACTCCCCAGCAACCACATAGAACATATGCCTAACACTCCGCTCAGTGCCCACAACGGCAAGAATAGATTCTCCAGCAGAATCCTTCAGGAAATAGTGAACCACACGATTTCCACGCTCCTGCGAAATAAATTGCTCTTTCCACTCCACAAAACAGTGACTACTTGCAGTCATTTTGACAGATCTCACCAAGAGAAAACTATAATCAACCCTAATTACATAGCTGGAATATGAAATTGCTCAGTAGAAATGGAAAAGGAAACTTGAATTAGCCTCCTACAATTCTACCCACAATCACTGCAATTTTTCAAACTAAAGGCACATTATTGTTGCAATAAATTATTGCCCTAAAGTGGTTAACCCAACCCATAAATTCTCTGCCATAAAGTGATAAACCTCAAACAAGAAAAAAGTGGGCATCTCACAAATTCGATCAGAACCCACTACAAAAATACAGTTTAAGGAATTCAAATCAGATCATAAACCCTAATCACAAAGCTAGGGAAGCTCAACTATACTACATATGGGTGAAATTATAAAAAACCAACTAACTCGGTTTCTTCAAAATTATTTCTCTGCCAACAGTTAAAAGGTCTAAACAGATACACGCCTAATCAAAGCACAATAAGGCTAGCAGCTATCCAAATTCATGGAAACCTAGAATCCACCTAGAAATTAGAGGTCCAACTCGAAGGAGTCTACCGAAGAGAAAATAAGAAGTAGAGAATGCGGAGTAGAAGTGAAAGAAATCTATGATTCGAAGATCCGCCAGTAGATGAGCAACGAAGTTGTCGAAACTGAAAGCAGCAAAACCCACCAAGATAGGGGTTTGACCGAGTTATGTAAGAGGATGATCAAAAAGATGAAATGGCCATCTCAGTTGAGCAAAGCAAACACAAGTTCGGGACGGAGAAAATGAATGGTGATAGGTTTTGATAACGATTGACGAGGAGTTTGTGAAGGTGGGTTTTGAAGAGTTCAAGAGAGAAATTAAAGGTTAATGTTTTGTAGGCTTTCCAGGGTGAAATACTGGAAGGTAGAGTGGAGAAAGAGAGAGGATAAAGCAGGGGAAGAAGAAGTTAGAGGAGAAAGGAGATTACAGTAAGAAGCCATTTTTTATGAATGTTTGAAGAGTTGGAGAGGTTTGGCATGCAGATGCAGATACAGATGCTAAGATGCAGATGCTGATGGTTGGTAGTATTAGTACTCACTCCCTTACCATCGCCAGGGGCTGGCCCACTGGTTCAGGATGTACTAATTTCAAGAGGTTCAGTGGTATTCGGTTTAAAACCAAAACCAAATGCAACCGAAATTTTAATTTGGTTCGGTTTTTAATTCAATTTATTTTTTTTTTCAGAAAAAAAACAACCGAAATTATTATGGTTTTTGAAATTTTTTATTCTGTTTACACATAAAATTGATTTTTAATTTACATTTTGAATTTTTATTTTTATTTAAATTTTGATAGTTTGATTTATAAGAATACTTAACAATCATTCATATATATATATTTATATATATAATTTTAATATTTTATTATATGGTTTGATTTTGTATTTTAATAGTATCTTAACATATATTTATTATCTTTTATGTAGGTTAATTTAGATAATTTAGATTAGATGAAGGATTTCATAGTCCATCACAAAACTTTTTTGGCCAATTTATATTATTTTTTAAAAAAATGATGTTAACCAAACCTAAAAACCAAAATTTCAGCTTTAGAAACCAAAGAATAATTAGTTCAGCTTTTTTTTTCTTTTTTTTTTTTTTTTTTGAGTTTGGGTAACCAAAAACCAAATCGAAGAACCGAATGCTTACCCCTAGTTTCATATTTTTCATTCGTTGGTGTGATTATGAGAATCCAAGTGCCAAAAAGGCTAGTCGTGGACTTCCAAATGATAATCCGGAGACTAGTTGTGGGCTTTCAAATAATTCATAATCCGGTCATGGGCTTGAACTTGAGGAGGTTGAACCCTTGGCCATTATAGTAAGTCCAATCATAAAGACTAGGGTTAAGAAGATCCATGAGCTTTTGAATGGTTTATTTAACATCAATAGGTCGAATTCTCTATCAATGGGTTGAATTCTCTATAATTAGGCTTAAAGAATATCAGTTGGGCCTTATGAATCTGATCCAAGCTATTGGGCCAAGTCTTTTAAAATTAAAGTCCAATCGGACAAAACTATTTTGTCTTTATGTTTTGGGCCAAGATCAACAAAGCTAAGGCTATTAAATCGGTCCACTTCCAATTCTTTTCAAAGTCGAATTTTACACCTATTTTCAAGTCAACATTCATCAAGTTTCAGTTCACGGTAATGGATGTCGAATTCAAGGTGTTTCTTCCAACTTTAAAGAGACTAATTCAAGGCTTTATAGTGATCCAACTATTCCGATTATAGATCCTATGTAGACTTTAATTCTAGTTGTCTTTTTGAATTTTCACCATCCAATTTAGGTAAACAAAAATATTTAATTTTTGTTGTAATCAAGTTTTGAATCAAATTAACCTTTGTGAGAAATTCACACTTTAGTTCTTCCTAGAACTAATTTCGGACTTGTCAAGAATCTAAATCAATTCTTGTGATGTTCAAGTGACTTATCACCCTTTTTCTACCTATCCGGAGTGTGACGTTCATATCCTTTTAATCCGATTTGACTTTTCCGAGATTCTTCCTTCTTGTTTATGGGTTCTCTATCCATTAAGCTAGGTGGGTTCACATTAGTTGGTATTAAAGTCCGCTCTAAATCAAGTTCTTCTTTTCACTATCTTTGTTTATTTCATGCCTTTGTAGTTTTGTTTTAGTCTAGATTAAGTTAGTTTCAAATCAAAAAAAAAAAAAAAAGAGATTGGTTTGATTCATTTATGTCCAGTTTGTCTAAATCGTTGTTTATCTTGTTAATCTAAGTGTGATCTTTTTCTCCAATTCTAAAATTTTCTTCTTGTTCCATATCTAAAAGAAACCATAGCACTACATTGAAAACATCCTAACACTAACAAAAAAAAGTTGTTATGATATATTATACCCTTAAAAAAAAATAGAATCAAGAAAACATAATAACATATCGATATCATTTGATCTAAAATCGGTAGTTAAAAAAATTAATTTGGTTACCTAAATAAGTAGCTAAAAATGTCATTTGTGTGTGCTAAATTGATTGTGTTTAGCTTGTTTTCATTGTCAAATTTATTCAAATCAGTAGCTCTAAAGTTTGTTTAGTGTGTTTCAAATCAAAAGCTAAACGATAAAATTATGTGCCTGAATGATTATGATTAGTTTCTTTTCAAAAACAATCAACTTGTTTCTTCTTTGTTAAATTAAATTCAAGTTAGTTCGAATGTTGTTCTTACTCGTCTAAAAACTTAAAATTCTTATTGAATTAGTTTGTCAATTCCCGGTTCCAAATCTGTTTGAAACTTTTTCCTTAAAAAGTGAAGTTGTTGAGCACTTGTTTATCACTTGCAATTGGTTAGTTCTTGTGTAATTTGGATTAGTTTGTGAAAGAACCAAAGGAGTGAGTTAGAGTTATAAAAGGTCGGAGTTTGTGATCTTATTTTTAGAAAATGCTGAAAAGAGAGCAAACATGAGCGTTAAGTGCCATCAAATTGAGGGAAACACGTGAGGTAGTGTTTATGAGGATTTTTTGCTACTAATATCTTTTGTGTAGGTACATTTATATTAAGAGATGAAGATCCTATGGAAGGAACTAGCAATCATATTACTCAATTCAAATATCGAGTCATGCAACAATCTTTTGAGCAATTAGTGAGAGTGGTAAATGATCTTTAGGATAGATTGAATGTGTATGATGCTTGAGTTAAATGAGTTGTGAAGGCATGAAAATCCTAGTTTATGAAGGGTTGTAGGTCAAGAACTAGTAGATAAGGGAGTAGTGGATTATAATGAGATGAGTTTAGTGTTTGAACAGATTTTGGTGGAATAAGAAATAACAAAGGGGGTCTAAGAAATTTTATGAGAAAAGATAATATGGATCATGATTTGGGTATTATTAAAATGAATATCCCACCATTTTAAGGGTATGAATGATCTGGATGTTTATTTAGAATGGGAAAAAAAGGTAGAATTATTGTTTGATTATCATAATTATTCAAAGGAAAAGAAGGTGAAAATTACTGCTATTGAGTTCAAGGATTATGCTATCATTTGGTGGAACTAGTTAGAGATCAATAGGAGGAGAAATATAGAGAGGCTGATTGGTACTTGGCATGAAGTAAAGGTCTGTCATGAGGATTTAGTTTATTTCGAGCCATTATTATAGATATATGTACCAAAAATTCCAAGGGCTACTTAACGTACAAGGAGTGTGGAGGATTAACATAAAGAAATGGAAGTGGCTTTGATAAAGGCTAATATTGATGAGGATGGGGAAGCCACAATGACACTATTTCAACATAGGCTAAATTGAGAAATTGCTAACATAGTAGAGCTAAAATACTAGATGAAGTTAGAGGATTTTGTATATATGGTAATGAAAGTAGAAAGACAAATCAAGAGGAGAGGTCTTTCTCGACCAAGATATCCTAAGAGTTTTACTCTACCATGGAAATTAACATGGAGTGGAAATGAGGAACGGCTGGTTACAAGCCTAAAACATAATCATTTTAAGGCAAAGGGGAGAGATTTGATTTTAAGTCCAAAGTCAAAACATCCAAAGGTAAGAAGGTGATTGCAAATCGAGAAAGAGGTAATTATGATTTCCAATCTAACTACACTAAGGATATTTGATGTTTTAAAATATAAGTAGAGGACACATTGCTTCTTAGTATCTAAATAAGAGGGCAATGGTGTTAAAAAAAATAGAGATATAGATCCGAGGGTGAGTCGGAAAAATGTTCCATTCTAAAATTGAGAGTGAGGGAGAGGAGTATCCTGTAATTGGTGAGTCCTTAGTTATTATTCGTGCTTTGAACAAGTGAAAAATGAGGATGATGCATAAAGAGAAAAATTTTCATACATGTTGTCATATGAATAATAAAGTTTGTAACTTGATAATAGATAGGAGTAGTTGTACTAATACGAGTAAGCACTAAGTTAGTTAAGAACCAAAGATTGCCTATACTTAACTATCCTAGGCTACATAAACTATAATGGTTGAATGATTGTAAGGAAATAAAGGTGATTAGGCGAGGTTCTTGTGTCATTTTCTATTG